CCCGTCCATCTGTCCACCCACCCGTCTATCTGTCTGTCCATTCACCAGCTTACATGTCTGAACCTGTCCCTTCCCACGCCTACCCATTCGGCCACCTATCCGTCCGTCTGCGTACCCTATCTTATATATAATATATATATATATATATATATATATATATATATATATATATATATATATATATATATATATATATATATATATATATACACTCTTGTCTACGCTTAGAACAATGCAGCAATCTCACGTCTATTGTGTTGTCCGGTTTTTTTCTTCTATAAACAACCCTGTTTTCAAACCAGTATTTACCCAGGTCTTTCATTAAGCTAAAATGATCAAGTCCATTGTTGGGAATTTTCCGCTATAGACCTCTTGATGCCCCCTCGTCTGTGATCACGTTGCGTCACCTGGGTTTTTAGGTCGAGTCAATCACCGAGGAGTTAGACGCAAGGTGTAATCGTGACGCAGAGGGTCAGGTCTTTGTTGCGTGACGCACTGCCCCCGCTCCCCATCCAGGGCGCCTGATGACGCAAGGGTGGGATTAATATCCAAGCCGCGGCGCCGGGAATTATGGATAATTGTCACACACCTGGATGCTCTTTGGCGGGGTCGTTGTGGCTTGTTAGCGGTGAGTGGTCGCTCTGAGCGGTGTGTTCTGTACGTGTTGTCCCCGGGGTTTTGCTCTGGCGGCGTTCGGGTTCGACGCGCGAGCTGGGTTCACATCAGGTGTGCGGGTGATAGTGCCAATGATTGGCACTGGGAAGTGGTCAGGCATTTCCTCTCCTGCTCTTGCCTGTCCCAGTGTTTGAGGCTGCACTGACGAGCGCGTGGGTACACACACACACACACACACACACACACACACACACACACACACACACACACACACACACACACACACACACCACACACACACACACCACACACACACACACACACACACACACACACACACACACACACACACACACACACACACACACACACACACACACACACACACAGGGATTCAGGGATGGCAGGTCCTGCCTCACAGGGTTACTTGAATTCTACGACCAGGCAACAAAAATACGGCAAGAAAGAGAAGGGTGGGCAGACTGCATATTTTTGGATTGTCAGAAAGCCTTTGATACAGTGCCACACAAGAGGCTAGTGAAAAAACTGGAGATGCAGGCTGGAGTGAAAGGGAAGGTACTCCGTTGGATACAGGAGTACCTAAGCAACAGGAGACAACGAGTCAGTGTGAGGGGTGAGGTCTCAGATTGGCGAAACGTTACGAGTGGAGTACCGCAGGGGTCGGTCCTTGGACCGACCCCTGCGGTACGGTCCTTGGACCTATACTGTTTCTGATATATGTAAATGATCTCCCAGAGGGTATAGAATCGTTTCTCTCAATGTTTGCCGATGATGCAAAAATTATGAGGAGGATTGAAACTGAGGACGATAGTAAGAGGCTACAAGATGACCTAGACAGACTGAGTGAATGGTCCAACAAATGGCTGTTGAAGTTCAACCCGAGTAAATGCAAAGTAATGAAAATAGGCAGTGGAAATAGGAGGCCAGATACAGGATACAGAATAGGAGATGAAGTACTTAATGAAACGAACAGAGAGAAAGATCTAGGAGTTGATATCACACCAAACCTGTCTCCTGAAGCCCACATAAAAAGAATAACGTCTGCGGCATATGCGAGGCTGGCTAACATCAGAACAGCGTTCAGGAACCTGTGTAAGGAATCATTCAGAATCTTGTACACCACATATGTAAGACCAATCCTGGAGTATGCGGCCCCAGCATGGAGCCCGTACCTTGTCAAGCACAAGACGAAGCAGGAAAAAGTCCAAAGGTATGCCACTAGACTAGTTCCAGAACTAAGAGGCATGAGTTACGAGGAAAGGCTGCGGGAAATGCATCTTACGACACTGGAAGACAGAAGAGTAAGGGGAGACATGATCACAACCTACAAAATCCTCAGAGGAATCGACCGGGTAAACAAGGATAAACTATTCAACACTGGTGGGACGCGAACAAGGGGACACAGGTGGAAACTGAGTACCCACATGAGCCACAGAGACGTTAGAAGGAACTTTTTCAGTGTCAGAGTAGTTAACGGATGGAATGCATTAGTCAGTGATGTGGTGGAGGCTGACTCCATACACAGTTTTAAATGTAGATACGATAGAGCCCAGTAGGCTCAGGAATCTGTACACCTGTTGATTGACAGTTGAGAGGCGGGACCAAAGAGCCAGAGCTCAACCCCCGCAAGCACAACTAGGTGAGTACACACACGCACATACACACACACATACACACACACACACACACACACACACACGCACACACACACACGCACACACACACACGCGCACACACACACACACACACACACACACACACACACAGTCACGTGCTCTAAAAGAGTGGAAAGTAAACACGAAGAAAGACTAACCATAGGAAGACCGGAACAACTTACAAGAATGGTCTTACAAATGGCTGCTAGAGTTCAACGCAGGGAAGTGTAAAGCAATGAAGATTTGTGCTAGGGCAGGAGGCTGAAGACATGGTAACAAATGGGAAGATAAACCATCCCGGGTCTGATAGTGTCTTACAGGCCAATCTCTAGAGGCACAAGGGCAACACACCTTGTCGATCTCCTGAGGCAACCCCAACCAGATAACATCAGCAGCATATGCAACGCGAGCCATCATTAACGCTGCCTTAACAGACGTAAACAGGAGACACACTGTTTATCACATACATCATACCGGTTCTGGAATATGCGGCGCCAACGTGATCGAATCTCCTAAAACTCATAGCAAACCTCGAGGAGGTCCACAGGTATGCCGTCAGACTAGTCCCAGAGCTGAGAGGAATGAGTTGTGTGGTTTAGTCTTTCCTCGTCACTCGGAGAAAGAAGAAACAGGAACATGATAACGACGTATAAAATACTCAAGATCTGACAAGTACTAGAAACCTCTCGTGCACCGAGGCAGGAAACCCCACACCCACCCCCTCATGGGAGAGGCAGCTGCCAGGTCCACTAGCCGTTCCACTGACAGCGGAGTGAGGAACGGTCAATCAGGGAACGTTCGGGTTGTTTCTGAGGCTGAAATGAACCCTCGAAGGGAAATCGCCAAATTTTTAAATTCATTCCGAAATCGCAAAATTTTTTAATTCATTCCGAAATCGCAAAATTTTTTAATTCATTCCGAAATCGCAAATTTTTTTAATTCATTCCGAAATCGCAAAATTTTTAAATTCATTCCGAAATCGCAAATTTTTTTAATTCATTCCGAAATCGCAAATTTTTTTAATTCATTCCGAAATCGCAAAATTTTTAAATTCATTCCGAAATCGCAAAATTTTTAAATTCATTCCGAAATCGCAAAATTTTTAAATTCTTTCCGAAATCGCAAAATTTTTGAATTCATTCCGAAATCGCAAATTTTTTAAATTCATTCCGAAATCGCAAAATTTTTGAATTCATTCCAAAGTTATCTCACGGTTTCAAAGACACGTTTGTCTGGGAATTGACTGACAGGTAAATCAGATCTGTACGTCCGACGATCACTAATGGGACTCCTCCTGTACAGTCAACACACAAGTGCCAACACCAACGAAGTCAGACATTAAATCATCATTCAACCCGGTTCTCTGGTGACGTCCCTTCATCATGACCTCGAAATCATCATCTTGGTATCAGAGGCTACTGCTTGAAGCAGCCCTCAGACTACTGCTTGAAGCAGCCCTCAGACTATTGCTTGAAGCAGTCCTCAGACTACTGCTTGAAGCAGCCCTCAGACTACTGCTTGAAGCAGCCCTCAGACTACTGCTTGAAGCAGTCCTCAGACTACTGCTTGAAGTAGCCCTCAGACTACTGCTTGAAGCAGCCCTCAGACTACTGCTTGAAGCAGTCCTCAGACTACTGCTTGAAGCAGTCCTCAGACTACTGCTTGAAGCAGTCCTGCGACTACTGCTTGAAGCAGCCCTCAGACTACTGCTTGAAGCAGCCCTCAGACTACTGTTTGAAGCAGCCCTCAGACTACTGCTTGAAGCACTCCTCAGACTACTGCTTGAAACAGTCCTCAGACTACTGCTTGAAGCAGTCCTGAGACTACTGCTTGAAGCAGTCCTCAGACTACTGCTTGAAGCAGCCCTCAGACTACTGCTTGAAGCAGCCCTCAGACTACTGCTTGAAGCAGCCCTCAGACTACTGCTTGAAGCAGTCCTCAGACTACTGCTTGAAGCAGTCCTGAGACTACTGCTTGAAGCAGCCCTCAGACGACTGCTTGAAGCTCTCCACGGACACTGCTGTTGCTTCACTGTAGCCGACAGAAACTTCCCAGCGATGCATAATGACCGCAGTATCCATGATATGCTACTTTAGCAGTGAAAGCAACATCGTGGAGGCATGTGTATGCATGTATGTAAAATATTCCCTCGACAAATCCCAACTTTCAGAATACGCAAGTGGACCACAAATCATTACTCGGTTATGTATGCGATGTGCGTATGTGAGGATTTCCCAGTGCTTGTCAGGTTTGGGTGATGGATGCCGGTCCGCTAAACCCCCCACCGCCCACCCTATGTAGTGTGGCCCACCCTGTGATGTGTGGCCCACCCTGTGATGTGTGGCCCACCCTGTGATGTGTGGCCCACCCTGTGATGTGTGGCCCACCCTGTGATGTGTGGCCCACCCTGTGATGTGTGGCCCACCCTGTGTAGTGTGGCCCACCCTGTGTAGTGTGGCCCACCCCATGCTTCCTCAGGTAGCACACTGTGAACACTTCACTGATACAAACGGCTGCTTGTTCTAGTGACGTCTGAATGACCCAATTAGACGTGATAATGATCCAATTTGGTGAAGTTCTGACTGCGAAAGTCCACTTATACCGCACCATACATCATTACCGGTAATGATGAGGTGATTGAGTAGGCCCTCACCCAACTGCCCACTTCGGGGCATTCATTCCCATTGGTCATTTCCACCTTGGGAGTAGTTAAGATGTCTCTGAATGCCGGCGATCATACTGTTTACCACGACAAGTGATGGTAGAGATGATTGGCACTTGGGCATCTCCCTGAGTGCCAAGCCAGTTAGAGATTGTCCAGGCTTGTTGGGTTATTAACCACGCCCACGAAAGGGTTGTAATGGGCGTGCGGCGGTTGTAATGGGCGTGCGGCGGTTGTAATGGGCGTGCGGCGGTTGTAATGGGCGTGCGGCGGTTGTAATGGGCGTGCGGCGGTTGTAATGGGCGTGTGGCGGTTGTAATGGGCGTGCGGCGGTTGTAATGGGCGTGTGGCGGTTGTAATGGGCGTGTGGCGGTTGTAATGGGCGTGCGGCGGTTGTAATGGGCGTGCGGCGGTTGTAATGGGCGTGTGGCGGTTGTAATGGGCGTGCGGCGGTTGTAATGGGCGTGTGGCGGTTGTAATGGGCGTGTGGCGGTTGTAATGGGCGTGTGGCGGTTGTAATGGGCGTGTGGCGGTTGTAATGGGCGTGCGGCGGTTGTAATGGGCGTGCGGCGGTTGTAATGGGCGTGCGGCGGGTTGTAATGGGCGTGTGGCGGTTGTAATGGGCGTGCGGCGGTTGTAATGGGCGTGTGGCGGTTGTAATGGGCGTGTGGCGGTTGTAATGGGCGTGTGACGGTTGTAATGGGCGTGCGGCGGTTGTAATGGGCGTGTGGCGGTTGTAATGGGCGTGTGGCGGTTGTAATGGGCGTGCGGCGGTTGTAATGGGCGTGCGGCGGTTGTAATGGGCGTGCGGCGGTTGTAATGGGCGTGCGGCGGTTGTAATGGGCGTGCGGCGGTTGTAATGGGCGTGCGGCGGTTGTAATGGGCGTGCGGCGGTTGTAATGGGCGTGTGGCGGTTGTAATGGGCGTGCGGCGGTTGTAATGGGCGTGCGGCGGTTGTAATGGGCGTGTGGCGGTTGTAATGGGCGTGCGGCGGTTGTAATGGGCGTGCGGCGGTTGTAATGGGCGTGTGGCGGTTGTAATGGGCGTGCGGCGGTTGTAATGGGCGTGCGGCGGTTGTAATGGGCGTGCGGCGGTTGTAATGGGCGTGTGGCGGTTGTAATGGGCGTGCGGCGGTTGTAATGGGCGTGTGGCGGTTGTAATGGGCGTGCGGCGGTTGTAATGGGCGTGTGGCGGTTGTAATGGGCGTGCGGCGGTTGTAATGGGCGTGTGGCGGTTGTAATGGGCGTGCGGCGGTTGTAATGGGCGTGCGGCGGTTGTAATGGGCGTTGCGGCGGTGCGTGCAATATGTGCGCGCCCATATTGACGAAACTTAAGACAACAGGATATCGTGCGTATCAGGCTCGCTATCCTTTCTCCTAGGAAGTAATTGTTTCATTGTTGCTTTCTCCTCGAGTGAAATAATAAATTTTATCGCGGACCTGGCTTGCCTCCTGCTCACATTTTATGCCTTTATATTTCTTTTTATTCGCATTAAACATTTAAATTTCTTACATTTTTTAGTATTTAACTAAAATTTCAATAATGCTATCTATTACTTAGGTTTCTGAATTATATCTACTCGGCTCCAATGACCTCGGTACGATGGAAAATAAATTATTTATTTTTCAATTAACTTAATGATGAAGTAATATTAACAGAATATTCAGTAGATTGTTATTTTAAATAATGGGATATGTAAATTTATATATATAATTTATATAAGATGTGTCGATGAAGTAAAATATAGGATGAGTCAAAAATTATTTTGCGAGCACTTAATCAGGATTATGGTTCAATATTGGCGTGCGTTGAACTGCACGCTAATATTGCACGCAATGCAAATATTCCTTAATGCACGCTGCCTGAGGAATATGGCGTGCGTTGGATTGTTCTGGCGTGCGTTGAACTGTTATATGGCGTGCGTTGAACTGTTATATGGCGTGCGTTGAACGTTTATATGACGAGCGTTGAACTGTTATATGACGTGCGTTGAACTTATATGACGTGCGTTGAACGTTTATATGACGAGCGTTGAACTGTTATATGACGTGCGTTGAACTGTTATATGACGTGCGTTGAACTGTTATATGACGTGCGTTGAACTGTTATATGACGTGCGTTGAACTGTTATATGACGTGCGTTGAATTTTGACGTTAAATTTGATGAAGTGAATTAAAATATGATGTGATTAAAATATGATTATATTAATTTTGTGTTTTACGACAGAATGTGAGAGTGAGATAGTGGGAGAGAGAGAACCTGCCATCTCTCTCTCTCTCTCTCTCTCTCTCTCTCTCTCTCTCTCTCTCTCTCTCTCTCTCTCTCTCTCTCTCTCTCTCTCTCTCTCTCTCTCTCTCCATTTTCTATCTCTTCACTCTCTTTATCTCCTCCCTCTCTACAACTTCCTTCCCTCGCTCTCCCTCACTCTCCCTCACTCTCCCTCACTCTCCCAGCGGCCATGTGTCACTGTCAAGCAGTAATGGTTTACACACGGGGCAATGAGCGCAGGTTGGCGTGAACACCGTTTAAAACTTAACATATAATTACACAGCTTGCTGCCAAGTGTCTCTGGTGGTGCCCCCTATGTCTGTGGTGGGGGGGGGGCTTCTACCCCCCCTCTGTGGGGGCACTGAGGGGGGGGGCTTCAACCCCTCTGTAGGGGGGCACTGAGAGGGGGCTTCTACCCCCCCTCTGTGGGGACACTGAGGGGGGGGGCTTCAACCCCTCTGTAGGGGGGCAATGAGAGGGGGCTTCTACCCCTCTGTGGGAACGCCGAGAGGGCTCAGATCACATGTAGAGATGTGTGATTCGAAAACGTGTATCGTCATGAGTTATGAGTCGTGTATAGAACGTGTTTCAGTACTGAACAGGGTGGGTTTAGCGGTTGGATTAATGAGCATTTGGCCATGGTGATGAGGACGGGTTGACAGGGTGTGGGTTAGACGGGGTTGTTTGCCACACAGGGTGGTTAACTTTTGGGTCACCCTTGTTAAGAGAAAAATATCTTTTTTACGTGTAAGTTTTTCTCCTCCCAAAAAAATACTCGTAAATACTGATTCGAACACGTTTTATAATATTCGTAAATGGCAGCGAGTGAGGTCTTGTCGTTCATATCGCTCATTGGTTTATTTGTTTGTTGTATTATGATTGCAAGCGTGTGTGTGTTGTGTTTGGAATATTTTATGGGTTTAATGTCCATGCATGAATGAACGGATGACGTCAGGTGGTGTGTGTGTGTGTGTGTGTGTGTGTGTGTGTGTGTGTGTGTGTGTGTGTGTGTGTGTGTGTGTGTGTGTGTGTGTGTGTGTGTGTGTGTGTGTGTGTGTGTGTGTACTCACCTATTTGTGCTTGCGGGGGTTGAGCTTTGGCTCTTTGGTCCCGCCTATCAACTGTCAGAGGGTGCGTGTGTGTGTGTGTGTGTGTGTGTGTGTGTGTGTGTGTGTGTGTGTGTGTGTGTGTGTGTGTGTGTGTGTGTGTGCGTGCGTGTGCGTGTGTGTGTCTGTGTGTGGGTGTGTGTGCGTGTGTGTGCGTGTGTGTGCGTGTGTGTGTGTGCGTGCGTGCGTGCGTGCGTGGAACGTGTTAACACGCTCCTGTTTACATGTATAGCATGCTATGGTCGTTCGTAGTCAGCTTCCATACTACTGTGTGGTCGTTGGAGGTCTAAATACCATGCCGTGGTCGTTGATGGTTGTTAAACAGGATATCAGCACACCAGGTGACTGAGGCAGTGCTTCTGGTGAAATGCTTTTTTGAATAAGAGTTTAACTCGGGACTTTTCACAGACCTTTTCTTCTAGTTCACAGCCACTTTTACTCACACACTTGTGAGCATTATCTTGTGTCTCGGTTCTCCCTTCCCAGAGTGCTTGAGGTGATGGTTTTGCACGCGCGTGCAAATGTCCAGAAATGTAGGATGTAGAATAGTATTGTTTTTAGTGCGAAGAAAATAGGAATTCTTCAAAGACCAGGTCGTTTGGCAAGACGTTTCTGCCCGATTTCGTATACTGAAATGTATTTGCGCCGTTTGGTTGTGCCTGCTTTCATCCACATTGTTTTTTGTGCTTTCTTGCAATTCAATTGAAGGAAATGTTGCAGTAGAAGCAACACGTCCGTGTTATGTGGTGATAAAGCACTGCTCTGGAGAGCAAGCGCTGGAAGACAAGCCTGGTAACTGCTTCCCCGTCAATCGCTTTTAGCTACTGAATGTCCACATTACCATTTGATGACTGTACTTCGCAGTGTCTGTGGGCTCCAGCAGCAGCAGCAACTGTGTCTGCAGGAGCGTCTGCGATCAGATGGCTAGATGGAAAGTCTGCTTGGTCTGCCTTGATACCAGGCTGGAAAAGTTAGGGGTGCCTGGAACTGACGCAAACTTATCTTCTCATCAAACGAGATTTCGAGAGTTTTTTCCTAGTGTACGTCTTCGTGGACGTTCATGAGGATTAAAATAACATCGAACTCCAAATGGCGGCTGATGGCCCCGTCTGCACTTGGCTGTCGTGGTTCGACGGCTGTCGCTGGAGTGGGAAGACAGCCTTTTGGAGGCAACCTCAGGCTCACAGAAGGCTACACAGGTGCCAGCTTTTGTTGGCTTTTCTGCCTCTGTGGTGCTAACTATCCGTCGCACACACTGCCTCTGGAACTTCGCCATTGATCAACACAGAACATTTAACATGGGCAACTTTAGTTTGGGCGACAAAAGGCCTTAGAATGCCGTTTGCTGGCGAGGAACAGTTGAACACCGGAATCTGGTGAGGCTAAACGAGTTCCACCTCCATCATAACCGTTGCCTGCACCTCTATCCTCGCCTTGAGACACGCCAGCACGCGCCAAGATTGACATAGACACAGCAACTGCGAGAAGAAGCGAGAGAAGCGCTCCTCTTAAGTGACCAACATACAGAGTTAGCGCTCTATTTTCTCCCCTCTCCTAATACTCTTCCTCCCTTTCCTGCTCTCCCCCCCTTATCCTCTTCTCCCCCCCCCCCCACCCTACTACATTTCCCATTGTACCCCTCTCCTAACCTTTCATCTCACCCCCCCTACCCCCATCTCTCTCCACCTGTCCTCCCTCCCTCTCCTCTCCCTTTCTCTCCCTTCCCTTCCTCTCCCTTTCCTTCCTGGCCTCTCCATCTTTACCTCATCTGGAGGCGTGGGACGCGTGACCGCTAGCAAATGTTGACATAAGTGGACGAATTGTTCATTAATCTGTTGTGGGTGGCGGCCGCTGCGCCCCTCAGCTGACGTATTCTGTTTACATTCTCCGGGTGACATTTTCCTGACGTTACGTGACTGACAGGCTGACACATTTCTGATATACGCCATACGATACTGTCCTGACATTATATGATTGACACATCCTGACAGTACCCAGATGACTGGCACTCCCTGACTAGTACGTTCCTGACCATCTCGGCTGACACATCCCTGATCATCCCGGCTGACACATCCCTGATCATCTCGGCTGACACATCCCTGATCATCCCGGCTGACACATCTCTGACACACGATACACTTGTGTTGAATCAAAAGGTGATACAATTTTTACTTCTACGTTTATCCTTTATCAACTCTCTCTCTCTCTCTCTGTCTCTCTCTCTCTCTCTCTCTCTCTCTCTCTCTCTCTCTCTCTCTCTCTCTCTCTCTCTCTCTCTCTCTCTCTCTCTCTAATCGCCCTCATAAATTAAAATATATATTTTTCTTTCCAGGTAAAACAACAGTGAATGTGGAACAAGAATGATGGAACCAATAGCTCCGCTGTAACATAACCATGAAACCATCATTGGCACCTGGTGTCTGCCTGTCCCACCCAGACCAGGTCTCTGTACCGCTGATACAGCTGCTGTAATCAGAGATTTAACTGGTAAGTAGGTGCTCAACAGTCTTGACTGTCGTATAGGTTGCTGGGGGGGGGGGGGTAGGTACTCCAGGATACAGTCAGCCAGTTAAGAGTGGTTGTGTGGAGGCAAGGATGGTAATGGAAGTTGTCCGCCTCAGGGCCTTCGGGAACTCCATTACCTAAGGATTTCGTGAACGAGTTCGGGGGAATGAACGGGTGGGGAGATTTGCTCGGGTTGGCGCGAATTCCATTTTCCGTCAAGGAGTCGTGTGAGTTATGCTGCCTTTGGATTGTTCTCTGAGGTGTTTTCCTCCCCGTCACTCACGCTAGTGGAAGAGCAAGATGGTTCTCTCCGGCAGATGTTAGTAGATGACGGCGAGCATTACACGTGTTGCAACGTGTCTAGGGCTTCTGAGAGCGGCCACCTGCCTAGGGCTTCTGAGAGCGGCCACCTGCCTAGGGCTTCTGAGAGCGGCCACCTGCCTAGGGCTTTTGAGAGCGGCCATCTGCCTAAGGCTTCTGAGAGCGGCGACGTGCCTAAGGCTTCTGAGAGCGGCCACCTGCCTAGGGCTTCTGAGAGCGGCCACCTGCCTAAGGCTTCTGAGAGCGGCCACCTGCCTAGGGCTTCTGAGAGCGGCCACCTGCCTAGGGCTTCTGAGAGCGGCCACCTGCCTAAGGCTTCTGAGAGTGGCCACCTGCCTAGGGCTTCTGAGAGTGGCCACCAGCCTAGGGCTTCTGAGAGCGGCCACCTGCCTAGGGCTTCTGAGAGCGGCCACCTGCCTAAGGCTTCTGAGAGTGGCCATCTGCCTAAGGCTTCTGAGAGCGGCGACGTGCCTAAGGCTTCTGAGAGCGGCCACCTGCCTAGGGCTTCTGAGAGCGGCCACCTGCCTAAGGCTTCTGAGAGCGGCCACCTGCCTAGGGCTTCTGAGAGCGGCCACCTGCCTAGGGCTTCTGAGAGCGGCCACCTGCCTAAGGCTTCTGAGAGTGGCCACCTGCCTAGGGCTTCTGAGAGTGGCCACCAGCCTAGGGCTTCTGAGAGCGGCCACCTGCCTAGGGCTTCTGAGAGCGGCCACCTGCCTAAGGCTTCTGAGAGTGGCCACCTGCCTAAGGCTTCTGAGAGCGGCCACCTGCCTAAGGCTTCTGAGAGCGGCCACCTGCCTAGGGCTTCTGAGAGCGGCCACCTGCCTAAGGCTTCTGAGAGCCGGATTCGACTCCTAGCCCCTTGTCAAGAAGTGTTGCCTGTTGACGGAACGACCAGTTACAACATGATACCTTAACTATCCTGGCGCAAGTCTTGATCAGACGACCCTGCTGGGACATTGCTTTATGATGCACGCATAGAAAACGGAGGTGTATAAATCTACACAGGTGTAAAACGTGTGTTAGTATTAAGCCTCTTGACTCTCAAGAGCACATTAAGAAGAGAGTAAGAGTTGGCGGATATTCTTGTTGTCTGTATCTTGTATGATCTTAAGGTAGTTCATGCTCACGCTCATGCTAAGATGTATTTTAATATGTATATGGGAAGTGTGTGTGTGTGTGTGTGTGTGTGTGTGTGTGTGTGTGTGTGTGTGTGCGCGTGCGCGCGTGTGTGTGTGTGTGTGTGTGTGTGTGTGTGTGTGTGTGTGTGTGTGTGTGTGTGTGTGTGTGTGTGTGTGTGTGTGTGTGTGTGTCAGGTACAGAAAGCTCTAGTACCGCCCACGCTGCTATTGATCTCTCACCCACGCCCTCTCCTCCACCCCTCTCTCTCCCACGCCCTCTCCTCCTCCCCTCTCTCTCCCACGCTCTCTCCTCCCCCTCTCCCACGCCCTCTCCCACGCCCTCTCCACCCTCTCTTCCACGCCCTCTCCTCCCCCCTCTCTCTCCCACGCCCTCTCCTCCCCCTCTCCCCCCCTCTCCCACGCCCTCTCCTCCACCCCTCTCGCTCCCACGCTCTCCCCTCAACACCCCCATCCCTCTCACCTCTCCCGGAAACCCACACCCATCACTGCCCCCTCCCCTTCCCCCCCCGGCACCCCCCCCCCAGGTAGCATTCCTTGCAAACCCTCCCAACGAGCAGGCCTGCTCGTGGACCGGGCCGCGGGGAGGCTAAGCCCCGAAATCACCTCAACGAGGAGAAAACCTTTTTCAGAGGCATGGAGTCAGTAAGGCCGTGTGGAAGGGGGGGGGGGTATGGGGACTAGCATTTGGGATAGGACGGAGGGAAGGAATGGTGCCCATCAACTTCGGTCATTCGGGGATCGAGCTCAGACCTGCAAGCAGCGAGGGGAGTGGTTGAAAGAGTAGTCCAATTGGTTGAGCTCGCGACCTTATTAGCCATCCAAGACACACTTCACTTAATACACTTTCTTGTTTTTTTCCTGACTATTAAATGTTTTAAAATTGGGAAGTACAGAAGACCAGGAAGCTGGTAGACCCTATGAACTCAGCATAGGTACAGAGGTTAAGGTGGCTGCACTCAGCATATGTACAGAGGTTAAGGTGGCTGCACTCAGCATAGGTACAGAGGTTAAGGTGGCTGCAGTCAGCATATGTACAGAGGTTAAGGTGGCTGCACTCAGCATATGTACAGAGGTTAAGGTGGCTGCACTCACCATATGTACAGAGGTTAAGGTGGCTGCAGTCAGCATATGTACAGAGGTTAAGGTGGCTGCACTCAGCATATGTACAGAGGTTAAGGTGTCCGCACTCAGCAGAGGTCAAAATACCAGAGATAAGTATAGAACTCAACGCCTCTATAGAACATAGGATGTGAGACAGAGTGTGGACAGCGCTTCGGAGTCGTTGTCCTGAGATTCCGGGTTCAATCCCCGGTGGAGGCGAAGACAAATGGGCAAAATGTTTCTTTCACCCTAATGCCCCTGTTACCTAGCAGTAAATAGGGCTACGGGCTGCTTCCTGGGGGTGGAGGCCTGGTCGAGGACCGGGCCGCGGGGACACTAAGCCCCGAAATGATCTCAAGGTAAGGTGAGCGATGGGCGAGTAGGCTGTTGTGGGTCCCCTCACGCATCTGAACACTACCAGTTAGAAAGGGGAATTAACATGTGAACTCAGCTTTCCTTAACAACTGAACATATTGTTACAAGAAGCTCTCTAATTAACACCTTAAACTTAACCTTAACCTTAAACCTTAAACTTTAACCTTAACCTTAAACCTTAAACTTTAAACTTAAACCTTAAACTTTAACCTTAACCTTAACCTTAAACCTTAAACTTTAACTGAAGAAGAATTTCTGCCAGAAGGAAATTCTCCCAAATTATTTTCCTGTAATTGGGCTTTTTCCTTCAATTTATATAATTAAGTAAATCAATCTATTGAAATTAAATTGTTTTCTTTGATGATTAAGCCAATTTTCCTTTTCTCTGTTATGGCCTAACAAACTGGGGCCAGTTCAACAGTTATTTTATTCTCTCTGTTATTAACCGTCTTCATTTTAGGTCGCATTCCCATTCCCGGTAATTCCCATTCCCGGTAATTCCCATTCCCGGTAATTCCCATTCTCAGAAAATTCCCAGTGTTGGAATGTGTGGGGCAGTGGCTTGGGAGGATTGTGTATGGTGGGTGTGCTACAGTGGAGGATTGTGTATGGTGGGGGTGCTACAGTGAAGGATTGTGTATGGTGGGGTGCTACAGTGGAGGATTGTGTATGGTGGGGGTGCTACAGTGAAGGATTGTGTATGGTGGGGTGCTACAGTGGAGGATTGTGTATGGTGGGGTGCTACAGTGGAGGATTGTGTATGGTGGGGTGCTACAGTGGAGAATTGTGTATTGTGGGGTGCTACAGTGAATGATTGTGTATGGTGGGGGTGCTACAGTGGAGGATTGTGTATGGTGGGGTGCTACAGTGAAGGATTGTGTATGGTGGGGGTGCTACAGTGGAGGATTGTGTATGGTGGGGGTGCTACAGTGAAGGATTGTGTATGGTATGGTGCTACAGTGAAGGATTGTGTATGGTGGGGGTGCTACAGTGAAGGATTGTGTATGGTGGGGTGCTACAGTGGAGGATTGTGTATGGTATGGTGCTACAGTGAATGATTGTGTATGGTGGGGGTGCTACAGTGAAGGATTGTGTATGGTGGGGTGCTACAGTGAATGATTGTGTATGGTATGGTGCTACAGTGAATGATTGTGTATGGTGGGGGTGCTACAGTGAAGGATTGTGTATGGTGGGGGTGCTACAGTGAATGATTGTGTATGGTATGGTGCTACAGTGAAGGATTGTGTATGGTGGGGGTGCTACAGTGAAGGATTGTGTATGGTATGGTGCTACAGTGGAGGATTGTGTATGGTGGGGGTGCTACAGTGAAGGATTGTGTATGGTATGGTGCTACAGTGGAGGATTGTGTATGGTGGGTGTGCTACAGTGAAGGATTGTGTATGGTGGGGTGCTACAGTGAAGGATTGTGTATGGTATGGTGCTACAGTGAAGGATTGTGTATGGTATGGTGCTACAGTGGAGGATTGTGTATGGTGGGGGTGCTACAGTGAAGGATTGTGTATGGTATGGTGCTACAGTGAAGGATTGTGTATGGTGGGGGTGCTACAGTGAAGGATTGTGTATGGTGGGGTGCTACAGTGGAGGATTGTGTATGGTATGGTGCTACAGTGAATGATTGTGTATGGTGGGGGTGCTACAGTGAAGGATTGTGTATGGTGGGGTGCTACAGTGAATGATTGTGTATGGTATGGTGCTACAGTGAATGATTGTGTATGGTGGGGGTGCTACAGTGAAGGATTGTGTATGGTGGGGGTGCTACAGTGAATGATTGTGTATGGTATGGTGCTACAGTGAAGGATTGTGTATGGTGGGGGTGCTACAGTGAAGGATTGTGTATGGTATGGTGCTACAGTGGAGGATTGTGTATGGTGGGGGTGCTACAGTGAAGGATTGTGTATGGTATGGTGCTACAGTGGAGGATTGTGTATGGTGGGTGTGCTACAGTGAAGGATTGTGTATGGTGGGGTGCTACAGTGAAGGATTGTGTATGGTATGGTGCTACAGTGAAGGATTGTGTATGGTATGGTGCTACAGTGGAGGATTGTGTATGGTGGGGGTGCTACAGTGGAGGATTGTGTATGGTGGGGGTGCTACAGTGAAGGATTGTGTATGGTATGGTGCTACAGTGAAGGATTGTGTATGGTGGGGGTGCTACAGTGAAGGATTGTATGGTGGGGTGCTACAGTGGAGGATTGTGTATGGTGGGGGTGCTACAGTGGAGGATTGTGTATGGTGGGGGTGCTACAGTGGAGGATTGTGTATGGTGGTGGTGCTACAGTGGAGGATTGTGTATGGTGGGGTGCTACAGTGAAGGATTGTGTATGGTGGGGTGCTACAATGAAGGATTGTGTATGGTGGGGTGCTACAATGAAGGATTGTGTATGGTGGGGTGCTACAGTGGAGGATTGTGTATGGTGGTGGTGCTACAGTGGAGGATTGTGTATGGTGGGGTGCTACAGTGAAGGATTGTGTATGGTGGGGGTGCTACAGTGGAGGATTGTGTATGGTGGGGTGCTACAATGAAGGATTGTGTATGGTGGGGTGCTACAATGAAGGATTGTGTATGGTGGGGTGCTACAATGAAGGATTGTGTATGGTGGGGTGCTACAGTGAAGGATTGTGTATGGTGGGTGTGCTACAGTGGAGGATTGTGTATGGTATGGTGCTACAGTGAAGGATTGTGTATGGTGGGGGTGCTACAATGAAGGATTGTGTATGGTGGGGTGCTACAATGAAGGATTGTGTATGGTGGGGTGCTACAGTGAAGGATTGTGTATGGTGGGGTGCTACAGTGAAGGATTGTGTATGGTGGGGGTGCTACAATGAAGGATTGTGTATGGTGGGGGTGCTACAGTGAAGGATTGTGTATGGTGGGGTGCTACAGTGGAGGATTGTGTATGGTGGGGTGCTACAGTGAAGGATTGTGTATGGTGGAGGTGCTACAGTGGAGGATTGTGTATGGTGGGGGTGCTACAGTGAAGGATTGTGTATGGTGGGGTGCTACAGTGAAGGATTGTGTATGGTGGGGGTGCTACAGTGGAGGATTGTGTATGGTGGGGGTGCTACAGTGGAGGATTGTGTATGGTGGGGTGCTACAGTGGAGGATTGTGTATGGTGGGGTGCTACAGTGGAGGATTGTGTATGGTGGAGGTGCTACAGTGAATGATTGTGTATGGTGGGGTGCTACAGTGGAGGATTGTGTATGGTGGGGTGCTACAGTGGAGGATTGTGTATGGTGGGTGTGCTACAGTGGAGGATTGTGTATGGTGGGGTGCTAC